TCATGAGTTGTAATTACAAATAATTTTAAATTGGTTAATCATAAACTACTTTTAATAAAAGCGACGGTAAATATCCACTTTGTTGTCGAAAAATTCTATTGCGTTACCCTAAATTCCATTGCGTTACCATAAGGTAACATAATGGACTCGGTAACGCAGTGGACAAAGTTTTGTAAAACCATATTTAAAAAATAATAATAAGACATTACAGTCATTAATTACTCTCAATGAGCTTTAGTGCCCTAAAATAAACATAAACATGAAAAATAGTATTTTTTCTTACCTTATTTTTATTATTTTTTTGAGTAACTTAGCGGACAAACAATTATTACATTCGCGTTACCCGCACCTGTTTCAACCGATATCTTCTTCCTGATTGAATAAATAAATTCAGCTGGGTAATGTGTACGTCCGAATTTCATTTGTTAATCACGTGAGTGCCAAAAAAGTTGCCATATATATGTTTTTTAAAATATTCTATCGGTAACGCGACGGACGTAACGCAACGAAAAAAATGTCTGGGACATGAGTCAAATTTAAAAAAAGTAGATTAAAATTAATTAATTTATATATAAATTGTTTACTGTATTAACTAAGGATGTTATGGATTGCTATAAAGCAACACAAAGTTCTTGTTATTCAATATTAAAAAAAAAACATGTATGTAAGTTTTATAAAACGCTAATGGGACATGCGAAAATGTGTGTTTCACAAGTTTCAAAATTAAAAAAAAATTATTCTGAAATAACTAAACAAAAATTTTCTGAAAGAGTTTACTAAGGGCTTGTTAGGCTTTCACTTGGTTTTTAAATCAATAAGATCCGATAATTTTTAACAAAGTTATTGGAATTCAAACTTACGGACAGCGGAAGGCGGGTGTTTTTTGAAAACGACCCAAATATCTCGAAGGGGATAATGGTATTGAAAAAATGAATGACAGTGTCATTAATGTCATGTATAATAGTCTATGACCAGCTTTAGGTCCAATTCAGCTCGTCAAAAATTTTGAACATTTGGATTTATCTAGGATTTGGACACGTTTTGTTCATGATTATTAAATTTGATACATCTTATGGATCCAAAATATATGCGTACTATAGCAAAATTTGATTATTACAATAGGTTATAGGTTTATATAGGTTTATGGGGTGTTGCTAGCAACCACATGCTGATGTTTCATTAATTTTAACGAAGACGGAAGTCAATATTGTCAACTCGACACAATGCCTTACATCCCCGTTATTTTAATGAAATATTTAATAAGCTACGCTGGATGATTTACAATCTTTTCAATAGAATTTTGAGTGACGTTAATAAGAATTGTTTTGGGGGACGATTTATTGATATTAAAATCCGAAATCAATATAAAGGGTGTTTCAAAAAATATACGCCAATGTTTAGCTGGAGATTTTTCATCCAAAAATAAGAAAAAAAGTTCATGGAAACGTAGGTCCGGAAATGCTTAGTTTTCATGATTCGGGGTGTTAAACTTTATAAATAAAAACTTTTTAAAATTAACTTAAATATCGTTTGCCCGACTTTGTTAAAATTTGACGTTATTTATACGTTTTTTTTTCTCCATTAATATTATTATTATTATGAGTTTAGTCAATTTTCATATAATATGGTTTTCATTTGTTCTGTTGAAAATAACTCAAGAGACAAAAAATATAAAAATTGCAAAAAAAGTCAATGTCAATTTTTTTCTCATGAATATTCGTTAAAATGCCTTCCAAGACGCCACTGATAGTGAGCTAATTTTGCTTTAACTTTATATTAAAGTTGTCAAACAAAGTTGCCAAGGTTCCACAAAATCTGGAAAACAATCTTAAATATTTTAAAAAAGCTGTTTTTTTGTGTTTATCTTAAAATTAGGCATTTCCGGACTTTTTCTATTTTTGGATGACGAATCTTTAGCCGAACATTGGCGCATGTTTTTTTAAACACCCTGTATATTAAGCTTGCAGGTAGAGGATACACAGAGGTGGGCTTTATTTAGGATGAGAATAATTGGTGTGCTACCCTTAATATACATATATAGGGGATGATGGCAAGCAGCTTGTGGTGTTTAATAGGGCGGGGATGGTCTGTGTTACACATGCATTATGTTAAGTGGACACGTGTGATCGGCTACTGATAGGGTGTTGTCCCAATACAATAAAAGCAACTATTGATTTGCGTTTATATCTATTTCACTGACTAGAACCGGAAACATTTTGTCAAGATAAAAATCCATTTAATTTGTTAGAAATTCTGTAAATTTGCTTTAGGAATTTCCATTTTTTATGACTACGATTTTTTAAATATTAGTTTTAATGCTACTATTTAAGCAATGTCCGAAATTTTAATTAATGACGTATTATTTGAAATGTGAATGTAAGTTCACTGTACAGGAAATGTGTAGTTAAAAATCAATCATCAAATTTTTATTATTTATTACTTTTTACTTAACTTAATATTAATTATAATTATCTAAACTTTATTATAATAATTGATGATTGTTTAATTTCCTGTTTTTTGTGTACAAGTAGTTTGTTTAATCTTTAACTTTTAACATTTTTATCAAAAATACAAGAGGTAGTTTATAAATTTTAATAGTTTTTTAATACTTTTTGTAATTTCCTGTTTTATATAAATTGTTTAATGTTTAATGTATTTTCTACTTCTATTGCATTATATTGACATTATTTTGATTTTTTCATTCAGTAGTGGCCTTAATTAGAGCAAACACTGTAAAAAAAATCTAACTCCAAAACGCCTTTATTAATGTTTAAGAAATTTTGGATAAAAATACTTCAACTTATATCTCAGTTTACGTGTTTGAGGGTTTTTTGAGAAAATATTTTTAAAGCCCATTTTTTTAAAAATTAAAAAAACGTTCGAAAAATAACTTTTAGGTAATTTTTTTTCAAGTATATAAAAAATATGCTGTTAAAAACCTTATTTTTGTTAGTATACTCTGAAGCTTTTGTACAAATCAAATGAACAGTAACGAAGATACAGCGATTCAAAGTCGTCAAAAATGACCACTTTTCAGCAAAATAATTATTCCCGTTGTTATTACCTATAGGCATCAGTGATTGGCTTATTTCAAAATCTTCAATTGATGAATTTTGTTAAACTATTGGTTCCAAAGATACATTTGCGCATGCAGGGAAGTAATATGTTTTATTTTGATCTAACAGACTGCTCCCCATTTAGAAATATGCTGGAGCAATGCAACTTATTTTTGGAAGTATTCAACATTGACCTATTTATGGGAAATAATACCAAAGAAATTAGATTACACTTTCTCTCAGTCTTTTATTCTTAGTTTAGGCTACTTTTACATCTGTTTTTGTTTTGTTACTGTTTTTGTATTTAGATTTTAATTATATACATGTATTTATCTCTTACTTTTAATTACAATTCGTATTGTGTTTGTAAGTAGTATCAATAAATAAATAAAATTATTCAGTAGCAAATAAGCTAATACCAAAATCATAGTATCACTTTAAGTATACTTTTAACTTTTAACTTTTTCCTTATTTCTCCTCTTTTTATATCCTCCAATAAAAATTAGTCATACGAGGAGTAGAAAAATGTTGGTTATTATCAGTTTTCAAAGACTTTGAATCAAAGACCTTTTCAATAATGTGTTCCAATTTTTATTTAAGTCTTTATTCTACATTTAAATATCACGTTTTTCATTATTGTTGTTTTTATTTGATATTAATCCGTTATCTGTTTTTGTTAGTACTTTTTTTAAACTTAATAATTATTGTGTTTTTTAAAATGGCTTTGCACACTTATTTTTTATCCAACATAATAATTTATTTAAACTTAGAGCTTATTTAATGTATACAATAATTTATCGAATATTAGTGGGCTGAGCAGTTAAAAATTATTAAAAGTTTAAAGTGAGTTAAGAAATTTCAGCAGATATCGAATGTTTTGATTATTCCAAAAAGATGTTTTACAGGCTAGGATGTAAAAAACTTTACCTGTTTGGTTGACAGCCTAAGAGATAATCAAATACTTTGGCTGTAAGGGTTGACAATAATAAAGCTTAAATTTTGGAACGCTATCTAGTAGATACTACGATGACAGATTTTCCAGCTGTGGTTAAAATTGAAACATTGGATCGAGCCTTAAATTATACGAATAATTTAAATAATGCAAATCTTAATATAAAAAATAATACAAAAAAATACAAAAAGTAATCTTCATCTCATCGAAAGCCTACTTTTTTATATTTTTTATTTTATTATGAGTTAGATTGGAACATTAAAAAAATCTATTTGTTTGGTAAATTTTTTGAATTATAAAAAAAATAAAAAAATTGCATAACAAAGTTTAGTTTATTTATTTTTTTTAAATTATTACTATTGATACATATAGTGTTATAATCCATTAAATGCATTTATTAATAAAACCTTAGAGGTAATCAGACCGTTGTAAATGTGCCAAATTGTCACCACTCCGAACCACTTGGTAGTGTATTTAATACCATTTTGTGCAAACAAAAAAAATTGTTTTGATATTTATTTTGTAGGTATTTAGAAATTCAGTTTTTATCCAAAAACCCACAAAACAAACACTCTATCCACGCCTGTGTTAAATAGTCGTTACGTGTCCACTGTCTTCCCTTGTCTAAGGTTAAAACCATAAAAAGTATTTCAAATTTAAATATGTTTTATCCAACACTGTCAATAAACCTAACATACAGCTTAACAGAATCCAATTCTATCGGTTCGCTGGAACGCGACGCATAGCGCAAGAAAGACCAAAAAACCTGACAGACTTTCTGCCACACATTAAACGTATTCGAGATCTAGTTACGTGCTCTGTCAAAGATCCCGACGAAACACAAACTGCGTCACCGTGGCATTATACCCAAAAGCCTAACGTGACAGACAAGCGGTGGTAAGAAATCGATATGTAAAGCGATTTTCTGAGAACATTTTATTCATCTGGGAAATTGTTTGCCATTTTTTAACAAACCCTTTTATTTTTTGCAGGTGGAGAGTGTCGCACTGCCTTGGGCATGGAGGAGGGCAGGATTCCAGACCACGCGATCTCTGCTAGCTCATCGTATGAGGCCAAAAGTGTGGGACCACAAAATGCAAGGTAACCAGATTTAATTATGTATTGAAAATTTTGCTGTCTAATATGAAAACCTGTAATTTCAAGCTTTAAGATATTAATATTACTGGAATATTTATGTACATTAGGGTGATGCAAAAAAAGTTTTTTTTGAATTCTATGCGAGACCACTCGGGTTTTCAAAGAGTATCAAGAAAATAAAAATCTGTAAAAATTTGAGAGAAATCAATTAAAATTTAGAGGTCGCTCAACGCAATTGTTTAATTTAGAAAAATCACGCAATTAAAATGCATTGCTATAAACAAGTAGGCATATTTCATACAAATTTGAATGAAAATGGTTGAATTTTTTTTTGGTGGACTCTGAATGATTATTCTAATAAATAATGTTGTCCCGATTTCAAAAAATTGTTCATAATATTTAAAAAAATTATATTAATTAGCAAATATAGCTTAGTTAACAAATAATTCATTCATTTTTTTTTTTGTTTTAAAATCTGTAAAAACATTGTTAATAGGTCTACAAGCAATTATTCATTCACAAAAATACTCGCCCCCATCGTTAAATATGAGAAAAAAAATAATATTTTAATTAACTACACTTCGCGTCAAATTTAACGCACCACTAAAAGTTTGTCACATTTTCAAATTTGATTTTCTCGCGAACCGTCAAACCGAATTTAGTGATTTTTATAATAAATTGTAGGTTTATTCTTCGGTAATAATGCGTTTATTAAAATATTTTTTTAAATTAACATTTTGAGTATATACAGGGTGCAAGAGTGATAATAAGTTTTTTCCCGGAAATTTAAAACGCCCAGTGGATTGTACCAGCTATAACAGCATATGTCTCATAATCAAACTATAGCCCCATGTTCTCTATCGAGGACATTTTATTTGAGCATGTTGTCCCTTTCGCCCGGTAATAATTTTTTACTGAAGCAGGATAATGCTATATAGTGCAAGAGTACTTACATGAGGTGGGTGTTAAAACTTTAGACTGGCCTGCAAATAGTCCGGATCTCAACACCATCGAGCATTTGTGGGATAATATGGGTAGACGACTAAGAAATCATGATCCCTTGCCTGCCTCCCTTGATGACGTAGCAAATATGCTACGAGAAATATGAAATGTCATTGATCAAGACGACATTAGACATCTGGTTTCGAGTGTGAGCTGTCGATGTGAAGCCGTAATTAGAAGTAGAGGCAGAAATACGCGATATTGATATTCTTTAATGTTGGTTTTATTGATTTTGTTAATATTTTTGTTGTTATTGTTACAATCTTTCTTTTTACATTTTTGTATTAAACTGGAGTTCTTTAATCTTTAACTGTATATTTGATTACAAAATAAAGATAACGCGGTGAATCAAAAAACAAAATGTTAAGAAAAGATGTGGCTATAGTTTGATTATAAGATACATATGCTGTTATAGCTGGTACAATCACAGGGCTTTTTAAATTTCCGGGAAAAAACTTATTATCACTCTTGCACCCTGTATATACTCAAAATGTTAATTTAAAAAAATATTTTAATAAACGCATTATTACCGAAGAATAAACCCACAATTTATTATAAAAATCACTAAATTCGGTTTGACGGTTCGCGAGAAAATCAAATTTGAAAATGTGACAAACTTTTAGTGGTGCGTTAAATTTGACGCGAAGTGTAGTTAATTAAAATATTATTTTTTTCTCATATTTAACGATGGGGGCGAGTGTTTTTGTGAATGAATAATTGCTTGTAGACCTATTAACAATGTTTTTACAGATTTTGAAACAAAAAAAAAATTGAATGAATTATTTGTTAACTAAGCTATATTTGCTAAGTAATATAAATTTTTTAAATATTATGAACAATTTTTTGAAATCGGGACAACATTATTTATTAAAATAATCATTAAGAGTCCACCAAAAAAAAATTCAACCATTTTCATTCAAATTTGTATGAAATATGCCTACTTGTTTATAGCAATGCATTTGAGATGCGTGATTTTTCTAAATTAAACAATTGCGTTGAGCGACCTCTAAATTTTAATTGATTTCCCTCAAATTTTTACAGATTTTTATTTTCTTGATACTCTTTAAAAACCCGAGTGGTCTCGCATAGAATTCAAAAAAAAAATTTTTTTGCATCACCCTAATGTACATGTTAATGTACATACAGGGTGTCTATTTAAAAACGAGCAATACTCTATAAGTCTGGACCTAAAAAAGATATCAAAAATTTTTCAAAACCGTTTCTAGGATATGTTGGGGGAATCAGTATGACAACAAAAATGACCTTTACCTAGATTCGTTGTATCGGATTTATATAAATTTACAAAAAAGACTGCTATTCATGCTGATCAGTTTTTTTTATTTTAAATAGTATACTTTGTTTTCCAACATGTTAGGAAGGTGTCAAAAGATCACGAATTCCACCCATTCAAAATGCATATTACACAAGAACTTGGCTATGATAGAATTTTGTAAAATCATGACCAATAATAGTTATTTTCGATATAAGTGGGATAAGAGCTTTATTAACGTACGCATGCGAAATTTGCCCAACGTAGCACGAGTTGGGCAATCGCAAAAGTACGTTAATAAAGCGTTATCACACGTATATTGTACAAATTTAAATGAAAAAATAAACGGTAATTATTTTTGTCTAAGACTTAATTTAGGGTTATTTTGACATTTTGACTTTTTTATTTGATTGGTTAAAAGCAGAGAAAAACGCGTGCGTTAATGAACTTCTTATCTCACTCAAAATGAGTGGGATAAGAAGTTCTTATCTCACTGGCGTAGATAAAATAACAAATCACATCCAAATGCTTAAAAACATTTTCCTCAGCGATGAGTCTACTTTTATCTAAAGAAAATGTTAATAAACAAAATTGTCGTTATTAAAGCAATGAAAACTCTCATCTCATCAGAGAAAATCATATTTGAATGGCCAAATTTATTTTGAAATGTTAGATGAAACAATACAGCCACTAATAATAGATGAACTAGAAAATTAAAGAGTAGCTCCAAGAGGATGATGCTTTGGATGAAAATGTATTACATCTTTGAGAAGATCAGAATAATCCAGATCAGTGGATTGGTAGAAGAGGACCAATAGAATGGCCTCCCAGATCTTCAGACCTGACACCATTAGACTTTTTCTTATTGGGTCACTTAAAATCCGTGGTCTACAAAACTCCACGTTAAACATTTCAAAATGTGCGAAGGGAATTTGAGAATAGACTGAACTATTGCCTACAAAATAATGGGAGTCATTTTAAGCATTTAATTTAAAAAGCTAAACATTAAATTGTTTTGATTATTGTTGAACAATTTATTTATTTATATTTTTTTACCAAAGTTTTTTTGACAACAAAATGGTGTATTTTGGTATTTAATGGTTTAATTTGATATTTATAACGATAAATTGAGATAAATAATTATAAAAATTAAACTATTAAATAGTATATTAAAGAACTAATGTCATAGGACGTCATTTTGTCGCACGAGGTGCGAGTGCGACAAAAGGTCTTATGACATAAGTTCTTTACGCTATTTTATCATTTTGCAAAAATCCTTTAAAAAAATTAATTTTATACCTTATATTTAATTTGGTCGAATTTTACTTTAGATTGTTGGTATCATAGTCATTGGTTTGAAGGGTTAATGTCAAAATCGATTCGCCATGCCGTCCTTAATTTACTTATTTACAATTAGCGGCTTATAATGTTAAAGAAGAAAAAAAGATTTTCTAGTACTAGAAAAATCATAAAAATATTATAACCAATATGAAAAATATTATGCTGTTTAAAGTATAGCCAACCTATAAAATCAAAATTTTGGGTGAGGTAAAGTACCTTATTACAGCACCGAAAGCGGTCTTACCATGAAGTCATTATGAACGCAAAATAGATAAAAGTATTTTTTCTACAAGCGTGCGGAAAGTTGCTACTTTCCGCACGCATAACTGTGCGGAAAGTAGCACTTTTCCGCACGCAAATACTTTCCGCACGCAACCCCGCAATTGTTAAGCAGAGTAGTAGCATTTCCATTATTGGTTTCTATGGTTTTTAAAATACTAAACATAATTAAGTCCTGAAACGTCAAGGTTTTGAGTTTAAAAATGGAAAGTGAATTGGAATTACCTACTTCCTGAAAAATCACGGGCGAGATACGAAAAAGAATTCAACATATTTAAGCAATGGTGCTATGTTAAAATAAAATGTTTTCCATATTATTTCATGCGCTTGTAGAAAAAATATTGTACCTACCACGCGCGGAAAGTGTCTTTTCCGCACTCGACTGATGACCGAACTCCGCTACGCGTCGTTTGTTCAACAGCAGTCGCGTGCGGAAAAGTAGCACTTTCCGCACTAGTTAGGTAAATAACTATTTTAGAACTGTTAAATAGCAATTTTTAAAAGGTTTTCAATGTTGTGATACCTCACAACTTAAATAATTTTGAAAATCCATTTTTCAATGAAAAAAACATTTTTAAATCGGGAAATAATCCTACCAAATATCAATTGTGCTTCTTATTTTTTCCTGCAAATGTGATAAAACTTGTTTCATAGTAATGCATATACATGGCTTCCTAAAAGTCCCGCGACGGAGCTATAACTTTTGAAGGAGTGAAGAAAAAAAATTGAAAACTTGGGATCACTATAGGATCATGAAAACTACATTCTTAGATAGTTTAGAAATTCAATGCAACGTGGAGTTTTTTAGGGGATGTTAAAATAAAGTGTTTTTTGTACGTTTATTACGATTTTTATAACAAATGTTCATATTGTCGACCATTTTCGATCTGGCAATAAACCAAACGCTCGTAAATGCTCGTAAATGCAATTTTGAACCTTTTTTTGGTGGTTTCTTCAAGTATGCGATTTTCCAAATCATTTATTGATTATGGTTTTGTTGCATTTACTTTACTTTTCAGAAACCCCCAAAAGAAAAAAATCGAGTGAGGTTAGATCAGGAGATCGTGGTGGCCACTCAATTTCACCTTTTGTAACAATTGGAAAAAGTCTC